GACTTGTCAAGCAAAGGGTCATTTGGTCGACCACTTATAGACTAGAAGCAACCCAAAGGACCGACCTAGGTATAGTCAAGTGTAAGAGCCTTCAATGGAATTGCAGGGGAAATTTAGGGGAATTTTTACCCTATGTGCGGAGGACACGTGAAGCAGAATGACTGGTACAAGACAATAATGGCAATAGTGGCGATAGCGGCCTCTGACACATGCACACTGTGTGCGGACCGACAATTCGGGTAGTTTTGAGCAGCCAGCTTAGTAAATCCGGGCAGCTCCCAGGGTGGGTATTTCACCCTTATATATAGGGGTGAGCTTTACTTGATGAACACGATTTTATCCATTTTTACTCTTGAAAATTGAGTAGAACATACACCGACTTAAGAGCTCTTCACCGGAAAACCCCTCCGATGTGAGAGTTCTTTTCAGGTACGTGGCGTTCTACCGACGGAGGACGGAGGCGAACCGATTTCCAGCCAGTCCGAGAGTTTTGCATTACCACCTTTTAAATAAGGTTGCACGCAAAAAAAATAGACAAAAAAAACTCAAATGACTTATGGCATAGAAGACCACAATCCGGCATATATTTGAAAGTGGGGTGTCTGACAAAGGTAGCAATAGTTATACCAAAAAAAATAAATATTGGACCAAAAAAGGTTGATTACATATTTATTTTATACGCCCACAACAATAGTGCTAATTATTTTCTTGTACATGGAAAAGAAATTCATAAGAATACAATACTTGAATATAGAAATCCTCCATTTTTTTAGCTACGATTCCACTTAAGACTAAAGTACATTCTAGTAGCACTAAATGAAATTTAGAAATAATAGAAAAGGATTAAGATGAATACATTGAGGTAGAACAAAGACCAAGAAGCAGAATACTTTCATGCAATTTAGCCATATTTATTTTTTCCCATCTTGCAAACATATACCGAAATCAAAAACAAATCTAAAGGTCCAAGAGGTAAGAAGCACATGGTTTTCATGTAATTTAGCTACATCTGTTGTTTCCCACCACATAAACACAAATCAACATCAAATACAATCTCCAACCACTATATACAGACCTTACCTCCTTGGAAGAGGAAAGAAGGTCCTTAATGCAATCGACCGAATTCCTTGTTGCAAACTCTACCAAGAATTCAACAAACAGGTTAAAATGACAACTCAATGGCGATAATTGAATAAAAAAATGTACATAAAACTTAGAAACCGCCATATTACCGAAGCATGACTGCATTTGCAGGCTGCTCTTTTCCTTATAAGCCCCAACGCTTTTTTCCCCTATGTTTTAGTAAAATCTCCGATTATCATGCACAAAACACAAATATATCATGAACACACACATGAACACATCAACATCATGTCAAATCGCACACGCACAAAATCCATCTCGAAAAATACAACACCGAATATCTGCCAAGCACACTAAAACAGAACTGGTTGTAGATTTTAATGCGCATGCAAGAAACCCCCTAAAGAACAATGAACATATTATTAAAGGTATAATATATTTTGAAATGAACCAGGCTGGTGTATCTTTTGTCGCCGGAAAAGCTGTTGAAGAGAGTGTCCAATATATGAACAAAATTGTAGAGTACGACTATGGATTTTGCTTTGGAGGCTACGTTAACCGAGATGCTTTCAGCTGTGGTACAGCAATTTGGGTCACAAATCCTAATCTCAAACTACCACACAATAATAATCCAATTCAAGAGCTAGTGAATTTGGTGACGACCTTCATACCTTCAGATACGGCGTACTTGGCTTGCTCCCGCGACAACACCAGCCTCACGACAGTCTGGAAGGTGATGGTTGACTACTTGTTGCACCTTAGTCATCTAGCAACAACATGGAAGTCTTCAATTTACAATATCGGCTGGCCAAAGGATTAGAGACAGGCAAGAGAGTCTCACTTGCACCTTATCGCATCCTTGGACTCGACAACTAAACATTCTTTTTAAGCCTAATGTGCACATCCTTTTTGTGTCTTCATTTTAATGTTGGGTTCAACTTTCAGTGATTGGTTTAAGACATTCTGTATTATGTAATGGACAATTGACAAGATTATCTTCCAAGCAAGTTATTCATCATCCTTATTCCTTCAAGTTTTCCCATGGAATTAAATAGCAAACAAGGGCAGAACTTCTGGTACAGTTGATTTCTTCAGGAGTCCTCTAGGTTTAACTATGTTTTAAAAGTTTCTAACTTAGATAATTTGTTTTATGTATGCCCTTCAAGTGGATAGTACGACACCGGAAGGTGGAACCAACTCTTCCAATCATAACAACTCGACTGAAGAATGCATTCACAATACCTTTAAGAGTGTACAAGTGCTATCATAGGGCGGTGAAAACTTAAATGGCTCATCGTCTCTAGATATGTTATTCTCACACAATAATTTTATCATAAACTTAATGATGTATGTTGAGAGATATCGAATATTTCAGTCATATTTTGTTGCTTTTATTAATTTTGTCCTCAATTCACAACTTAACATTTTTTCTTATTCTTATAAGAACTGATATTCATCTATTTTTCTTTCCTACACAGACAATAAGTTTCGGCCAATTGATTTCAATTTTTTTTGGGAAGCCAAAAAATTCCAATCTTTGCCCAAATCAAACTCTAATTTCAAACTACCACACAACTAAAACCAAATCAAGAGCTAGCGAATTTGGTGACGGCCTGCGTACCTTCAATTACGACGTACTTGGCTAGCTCCCCTGGCAACACCAGGCTCACGACGGTCTGAATCTCCCGGGAGGTGATGGGTCGGCTTCTCGTTGTACCTTGCGAGCCGCGATGCCTCATGTGCGAGCTTCTCGAAGATGTCGCTGGTGAAGCTGTTCATGATGCCATAGCCTTGCTAGAGATCCTGATGTCCGGGTAACTTGAAGATGTAGATCTTGTACGTCACCATTCTCTTCTTCGCCCTCTTCTTCTTCTTCTTGTCGCCGGCGGCAAAACGGCTCCGCCTTCCTTCGGCAGCTTCTCGCCGGCCTTCGGCTTCTTCTCCGCCTGGTTCTTCTCGGCACGCGGCCTCTTCACGGCAGGCATTTAACTGGAGTTGGGCCATTTTTCAGTGTGTGTGAGGGTCAGTTGTGTGAGGGGTAGAATGAGGGCATTTTGATAATTTCACACCATGCATTGTGCAACCTATAAAGGCCTTCATACCGACACGAAGATATGCGATTGGCTCGCTCTCAATTTTCATGGATGACATTCCTCCACCTCTCCTCCTCGAGATCCTAAGCCGCCTCCACGACTCAGCCGACGTCGCCCGCTGCCGTGTCTCCTCCAGAACCCTTAACTCCCTCGCGCCGGAGCTCCGATCTGTTCACCTCCACTGCTCCTACCGCCGCTATTCCGCCTCCCGATCTCCTCTCACGCGGTCCTCCATCACGCCATTCAAGGAAGTTTTCAATAAGTTGATTTCGGAGTTGCGGATCGTGGAAACTGTTTCGATCGGCGTCGACAAGACGCTGCGGGAAGTGGCGTACGACGACCTCGAGGACGAAGATGATGATTTGTTCTTGAGCGACGTCAATTTCGTGGGGACGTGGCTTCCCAGGGTTCGCGGGGACCTGAAGTCAATCGCGATTTCCAATTTCTGGTTGCAGTCTTGCTGGAGGAGATCTGATGTGCTCGCGCTCATTTCTTGTTATTGTGAACCTCTCTCTCCCTTTCCCCTCTGTTTTGGTTGAATACTTTGTTTTTATAAGTGCATAGATAGATGCTTGGGTTTTGTTTTGGATATGATGATGAGTTATATTTTCATCTGTTTGATTGGACTGAACACTGCTATATGACATATTGTGGATATTCTCTTAGGTATTGCCTTTTAAATTCATGTTTCAATGCAATAGTGAGAATGGGCTTTTGTATGCAACAATTCTCATTTATCCAGGAATTTATGATGATTCACAGAAAGTCGCAAACTTTGAGTTCTATAGTGGATCCACAGCTAAACTAAATTAAATATAGAGGGAATAAGAATTGGGGTGCCTTCAAGTTCTACAGTTGCTGGTGTAGACACCTGACCCTGTCTTCTTTTGTTTCAGCTGATTTTGCGTGTTTTACAGGACTGAAAATGTTTGTTTCGTCCAACTTTGAATGGGTAAAAAGTATAAACAGTTGCATATGGGACTTTTCTTTATGTGCAGGCGTTAAGCTCTTGGAGTTGGAGATCAAGAATGCATGGCTATCGGTTGATGGCCTGACGACCATGCCGAAACTCACAACCTTGACTCTCGAATTCATAAGATTAGATGATGAGAACTTGGAGAAGCTCAACGAATGCTTCCCTTTTTTGCAAAATCTCAACCTGATTGGCGTTGGAGGACTTAAAGATCCTCAAATTCATCTCATGCATCTCAGAACGTGTAAGTGGATATTGTCTAATGCTCCAACTACTGTATCCATAGTTGCATCCTGCCTTGTCAAGCTAACTCTTAGCTGCGTGAAACCTAAACTACTCCTAATCGACTCTCCATCATTATCTGACCTGAGTCTTTCGTTCGAGGGCGCTTGCAATTTGAAAGTGAAAGAGTTCTCTCAATTGAATAAACTTCATCTTGAGTCCTCATGTCTACGTAATGTGCTCGCCACACTTCCTTTTGGCCGAGCTGTCAAGAATCTAACTGCTGTCTCAACCAAATGGGCAGCACCAGTTGGTGTTTCCAAGTCTATTCTCGAGTTGCTGTTTTGTACTTTCCCGAATGTGAGTTCCCTCACTTTGACTTCTCGGGTTTGGTCAGAGCTTGAAATGTACCCTGGCCTCGGGGGTTTGGAGATGAGGGCTCAGGCTAAGGGATTGAAGGAGATTAAAGCATATTTAACTGTAAATGATATAGAGGTTACCCTGTCTACCATCTTCTCTCTATTGGATAATTGTCATCGTCTTTCTAATATGATATTGTTTGTCCACCGTGATGTTGTCTCTAGTGTGACCAGTAGTCTTATCTCAAGATGTATTGGACATTGTGTTCGGGTGAGATGGAATTGGGGAATGTGGAGAGAGGGTACAGAAGATGTGTGGATTTCAAATTGCATATATAAATGAGCTCGCAAGATGATCCAATGGTAATTTTTTATGAATAGACTTGTCTGAAGATAAGCATTAAGTTGGTCAAAAACAGAAAATCAACCAAAGTAGTACGTTATGCTATGATGAGCTCAGGAATGTTGGGAATATGATGAAACACTGAACTGACAGTTGGTATGCAAGAATGTAAGAGTAACTGTGATAGATTGTGTTGTAACTTGGTCATTGGTTTGTTTGAAGTCACGTGCTTCACTTTGGGGGATAACTCTGCTAAATGCTCCACTTGCCTTTTGATTAAGTAAGGCAATGATGTCTGCCTTTTGTATATGTGTACATGCGGCGTTGTTGGAGTTCTGAAGTTGAGAAAATGTTGCCGACTTGTCGTTTGTAGCGTATAGTGTCTTCTCTTCTTACTATTGTTGTAGATCGAATGAAATTTGGAAAGCAATGTGAAAAGTTGTACAATTACATGTAAATGTGAATTTTATGTACGATTTTTTTTGCACTTCTGTTTTCCTGTATATTTCTGCTCTTGTCTTTCTAAAGCAAGGTAGGTTGATTCTTTTAATCAACTATTCCTCTGTAGCAGATGATCTTTGAATGGATTCTTATTGTTTTCGTCACGTCTCCTGTATAAACTAAGAGCAGTTAGTTGTGCCTAAAGTGAGGTGGGTTTCACAACTATGTGCATAGGTAAATCAGCTGTGTTAGATAATTGGGGTGTGTTTATTGTGTTAGTTAAAACTCAAATTTTGTGTACCTTTTAGGATAATGTCAGAGACGAGGCAATGTTAACTGAGAACTTATGTAAGTTTTCACTATGATGTTTTACCAAAATAATAATTTTCTACTGTTAGATATTGGTGCACATTGGTGTGTGAATAACCAAAATAGTAATAATTTTCTACCTTTTAGTTTGCATTTTGTCTTCAAGTAGCTCTCCCGGTCGGTGGAGCTCTTCGACAAGCTCCACCGCCAGCTTCGAGACACATGACAGACTCCCATCTCCTTCCCTCGTAGCCAAGGCGCCGACATTGGAAATCATGCAATACATATGAGGAATGTGCACAGTGAATAAACTAGGCCTCGGTTATTACTCGAACCCTTAATTCGTAAAAATAAGAACGGGCATGTGTATTCGGATATTATTTATTTGATTCACACTCCGGCGTTATGATAAATATTGTCGGGTATATGGTGCGTCGTTGATTATTTATTGACATTGTACCCTAGTGCGTCAAGTTGATGATGTCACTGAAATTAGCCCTAAGCGCTTGTTATATAAATATATGCAGGTGGATTAAGATCGAGCATAATAATAAGGTTGAGTGGTACTAAATTCAGATACAATAAGTTACCTAATTAAATGAGTAACTAAATTAATTTATAAACATTATACCTTAAACATTGTGAGATAAATCGAGTGGATAAATTCCGGAGCCTAATTATACATAATTTAGAGTTAAAATAGGAATTTCAATAATATTCTTTTAGTGGAACGACAACTATTCATATCGATTAGGTTCAGGTGACCCGAAGCTATGTTACCGATCATACGAGGAATCCTTATTTCGAATCAACTATTTGCATATTTGCATTCAAATTTGTATAAATTTTGAATCAAATATATTATTCTCATTCGAATCTCATGAATAACAATCACGAATTGAATCGAACAATTCATTTTCTTACAACCCTACTACTACCATATAAGAATTTATCTCTAAATTTCTTTATAGTATATATTTGACAAAAATGCCATTGGATATAAAATTTAATAAATCAACATTCCAAACTTTTTTGTCAAAAACAATGAGAAAAACAAAAGTATTCATGAATATATATTACTCCCTCCATTTTGAAATATAAGGCGTTTAAAAAATTTGCACAAATATTAAGAAGACATTAATTAATAAGTAAATTGGCTAAACTAACCTTATTTATTGAAAATCACTATGAGCATGTTTGGATATGAATTTTTTTGGTTTTGTTGGATTTTTTGGTTTGGTTTGGTTAATTTTGAAAAATGTAGTATGATTAATTGTTAGTGGGTATATTAAAATAATATTTAAAATAAAATAATTAAATTTGATGTGATTGTTAGTTAAAATAATGTGAGTGGATGAATATCGAATTAAGGTTGATGTGATGTGTATAAATGATTGGTTGGTATTATTTTATTATATTGATAATATTGATGATAGTGGGGTTGAATTAAAGTTGAGTTAAAAAAAATGGTTGAGTTAAAATGTTGAAATTTTTTTGTGAGAATTCTTGTATACAAACATGCTCTATGTATTTATTGTTATGGTTGCAGCTATAAATAAGAGTATATTTGGCAGAAAATGAAATAATTTGCCTTGATTTTGATGTGCGCCTTATATTTCAAAAAATTTAAGAATTCCTTATATGCCTTATATTTCAAAATGGAGGGAGTACCATATAAACTAAAGGGAAATGCTACGCTCTCGTTACAGTATCATTCTGTCGGGGTTTGTAACCGTTAGTGTAGTTAGTATAGGATAGTTGATCTAACTGTTACAAACCTTGACCCGAGACTGTTGCATCTCTCCTAAGCCAATACACGCAACAACAATAATTTCATAAAATTCTCCCAATGTAGACAGACCATTACACACTTCACAATAAAATACATAAAAGCATCTCTTCTCCAACCTTATGCAGGCTTACTTATTGCAAAACAAAAATTACAGAAGGAACACACACACACACACATATATATATATATATATATATGCTGACGTGGCATACTCTATAATGCGTGCACAATTATTGAAGATTAACAGATAGGTTTGACTTTTGAGCAGAACATTTAATTAAGGTTTCCCAACATGATGAGTCTCAATGTCTTTGGTAAGAGCGATGAAATAGGCGAGCAGCGAAATGGGATGCTCGACGTTTTCGTCGAGCATCTCATACTCCAAAGTCCACGTAACCAAATCGATATGACCCTTAGTCTCCACGTGGATGGTTATGATGAAGTCTTTGTACTCCTCCATCAGATCTCCTTCTAACATCTTGAACTCCATCAACTTTTTCTCCTCGTCGATGCTTTTGATCAGTTGCTTCGCAGTCTTCTCTTTCCCATCTGATATTGATAAATTAATTATTACATATAGATCAGAATTAATTAATATGAAAATTATTAAGAAATTGTTAGTTCGTAAATCTGGTGTGCTAACAGATTTCGAGACAATCGCCGTTGTATCATTGGCAACGATACGTCTGAATCGTTAACACTACACGTGGCGTATTTGTCTTGCGGAAAGAGTATACTCGCTTCGGCTAAATTCTTTTCCCTTTTTCTTTGTAATATATTTCTGGTTATATTGTAGTTTTTTGTAAGAACTGAGAATTATACATCAGTTCGTAGGATTCCTCGTGTATTTTCGACACACACAATTTCTAACAATATATATAGATGAGATTTAAATAGATAAATAAATTAGTTTTCTTCTCACCATGGGTGTACCTCCAGCAGATGATTGAGCCAACATGACCAAAATCGCCCTCAATTAGATCACAACCCTGTACTTTGTCAGGGCTAGCTGTGGAAACATGATGTGGCGTGTGCCTGAACAGTTGATGGAACACATCACCCCCAGCCTCAAACTCTATAGCTGCAATCAACTTACCTGTTAATCCCATCTTAAGATGATATATTTGAGAGTTAAGAGTAAGTGCCTGAATATGTATGGACTTGGTAACTAGTGCTGAATGGTGCAGAGAGGTTTGGGTGATCTTCTTTATATAGATGAGTCCAAGAGCTTCTAGCTTCCTAAATTCTATTTTTATTTGGCGAACTTGCATTTTTAGTCCTGTTGGTTTAATGTCGTAGCGTTTTTAATCCCAGTATTTTAACTTTTTGTCTTTTGATCCTGTGATTTAGTATTTTGCTGCAATTTCAGTCCTTTGAGACTGAAATTGCAACAAAATTTAAAATTACAGGACTTAAATTACTAATAAATAATTCATTCAAAAGAATTTTTATTAGCAATTTAAGTTCTGTAATTTTAAATTTTGTTGTATTTTCAGTCTCAAATGACTGGAATTGCGTTGAATTTCAAAATCATACGACCAAATAGCAAAATTATTTAATTTCACTAAAAATGTCGCTTGATCAAACCAACTGGATTAAAATATAATTTTGTCATTTTTATATTGTTATATTTCAAATTGAAGTCTTTGTTTTTTTATGGAAAATGGTAATTCTCTCCATCTGTCATTCATAGTCTAATAATGCATGATATATTTATTTATTAATCAATGCTAGTACACTGTTTACATACGTGGGCCATGAAACTTTTTTTTTTTTTTCCGAAACGCACAAATAATATTATTAACTCAAGAAAGAATGTATAAAGTCATAATTTTATTTTTAGCCACAATATTGGTCATTTTTTAAATGTTCACTTTTGTGGCAGACATTAAATTTAACACATTATTTTAAAAATTTTATCAAATAATGTACGCTAAATATTAGTGGTATGATAAAATTTGTCGTTTAATTTCAGTTTAATTCAAAAGTCGTCCGATGTCCGTTTCAAGTGAGTGACCTATCATTGGTTTTCTTATTGTCGAGATAGTCGTATCTTAAAACTTTTAGCCCATTTATAATTCGTTTGTCCACTCAATTTTCTATTCAAAATAATTTGAGTTATTTTCTATTTGGGTTAATTACGACTTCATATAGCACCCTTTTTAGGTGGGTGACTTTTTGTCAAACCGGTCATACTCTGATCTCAATTGGAGTTTGTTTTTCTGCTCATTTTGTCATCCAAAATAATTTTAGCTCAAATTAGTTGTTATCTATCGATGGGCTATTTTGGTGCCTTATGGTGTACGTTTCAGTCGGTCGACTTGTCTCATCAAGACGATTGCAATCACAAATATTTAGCTTAATTAGATTTCATTTGCTAAGTCATTTTTTCGTCCAAAATAACTTGGAATGTTATGTTGTCAACTTAATTATATGGTGTATCATTTCACATCAGTTTCAAGTATTTGATCCTCCGCTGAATACTTTGATTCGAGACGGTCATTTAGCCTAAATTGCAGACACAATTGAGTTCGTTTGCTTAGTCAATTGCACGTTCAAAATTATATGCACAATCTACATTTTCATCTCGTGATTAACCCACGTTCCGTCCTTGATAATCTGGCCTTTATCCTGCCACTAATAATTAGTGTATCTTATTTGATGAATTTTTAAATTAATGTGTTAAGTTTGATGTGTACCAAAAATATAGATATTTGCTAGAAAATGGGCAATATAATGGGCTAAAAATAAAATTGCCTATAAAAAATTTGAAGTGAAAAAACTTAGTTCGGTAGGTTTTGGTCACTAATGTGCAGTCTGACAGACGTTAATGTGCAATTTATTGTGCACAGATTCATGCAATATTGTACAGTCTTACCGACCAAACTTTTGTCACAAACCAAAATTGAAATTGAAGTGAATTATTTGGTTTATTTGGTCGATTAACCGGATAATCCTAGATAACCAAACTAACTTATTATTTATATTAATAATATATTAAATATATTTAATATTTTTATAGTTTTTTTTTTTTAAAAAAAACATATAATACATGACATACCAAATTAATGTTATGCACTACCACATACAATAATGTGCATTTTGTCTACTATTATTGTGCAATATATTGTGCGTGTTTTTGTTTATGTGTGTTTCAATTTAAAAACTTTAATTATGTGTATTTTAATTAAATAAACGTGCACTTACCAAATTATTTATATAATAAAATATATTTTAGAATTTATAATTTTTATTGAATATTCTGTATTATTTTATGTTGAAAATAAATAATATATATTCAGAAATTGTAGAAATAATATATTTTTATATAATTCGATGGCATCTGTTATTCATTTATTTATTTATTACATAAAGTCGAAATCAAGCTGAAATAACTAAAAATTTAAAATACGTGAAATGCAAATTATTATGCTAATATGCAATCTAGAATTATTTTGCATTTCTAACAGTATTGTGTTATGTGATACATTTTATTGTGCATCTTGTTTAGAAATATTATGCACTATTTGATGCGTGAATTTTTATTAGTTGGTCAATTGAATTAACTTTAATAATCGAAATAAATTATTATGTATATTATGCAAATATTATTTAGTATATTAAATTTTTCTATTTATTTTTAGTTTAAAATAAATAATATATATATATATACAAAGATATCTATTCTAAATAATTTTCTTATATATTTTTATAAATTATAGATTTGGCCCAATGGGTTAAATTGAAATAAAATTATAATATCTAAAATTACAAAACTAATCCTTTTTTCAGCACCGTGACCGGCACGGCCGCCGCGCCCGCTCCCTCACCGTGACTCTGGCACAACAGACTCGATTGCAGTTGTTTTTAGTATTTTTGGGCAATTGGTAACCGAGTTACCCGGACTCGGGTCGTTCTCAAAGGAAGGCTCTTCGGAACTTCGTTCACTATCTAGTCGCCAAATCACACAACCGAAAAGGTCCTAAACATGTTACTCGCAATTTGGGGGTTTGAATTAAAGCTAGACTAATCTACGAAATGAGGGCAATTGAAAGCAATTAGCAAGGCAGGAAAAGCATGCAAGAAGATGAGAGAAATCAAGTAGGAAAGAGAGATTTTGGTTCGCCGAAGTCTCTATGATCAAACACGCACAGATAACCGAATATTGTCATGCGAGCTAAAACCCTAGGTAGCTAAACCAAACTCTAGCACAATACGAGCAAGCATTTAACTCCTAATCACACTTAGTCAAGCATTCACGATCTAAAGATTCAATCTTTTTCTCCAAGCAACACAAGCGCAATATCAATTTTCACAAAAAGCAAA